ATTCGAAGGGAGGGGGAGGCGACTTCGAGGGTAAAAAGGGGAGAAATCCAGAATTATCATTTCTGAAAAGGAAACGTACTTAGCGGAACTTGTATTTAAAATACATATATACAAATAACATTATAACATTAAACAAAACATGCACAGTGTTTGTTTTTTTTGTGAGCAAAAATGCAACGGGCCGGTCAAGGATTTGAACCCTGGACCTTACATCAGGATACTGTTGTTCTACCCAGCCGCGACACGTGCTTGTCCAAATGGCGCTAGAAACATAATTAAGGGGAGGTCACTCTATAAACGAAAGACTACAGCAGAGTTGTCTCGTGTTTTGCCAGCAGCGGAACGTGATATAATACAGTTTTAAATCGATATCCAGCCACTTAGTGTTGATTTACTGACATTAATCTTTGGTATGAAACAGACACCATCTTGTTTACAGATGTTGGCACGTGTGAAAACAATGTTCGTGCGTTCACGTGCAGTGCCAACAAATGTATTTATGTCGCTCACCCCTGTCGACAGATTGAAAATAAACCGTATTACTATACAAAGCAGCAAAACTCACCAAATTGGGATAAAATTGGCTAATCTGATTGTGGTATTAAGTTGTCTCCGTAGAGACGTTCCGTATCACTTGTTGGACTTGTATTTGTAGACTTTCCAAATTATTCTGACGACTTGTTGGGAGTTTGTTTTTCTACGTACTGAAAGCATAACATTCCCCTATTGTTTTTTTTATAAAATGATAAGCTTATGTTAATGAGACAGGGTCTGATCCCCTGCCGTAGCCTGCTCCTCGGGTCCGATGGAAGACCTTGGTTGCGAGGTTCTATGTACGGAAACCTATAGTTTATCTCTAGTTTAATTAGATATATTTATCATAGTTACATGTGAAGACGTGAAGATAAAACAGATATCAACAGTTTGTTTGCCGATGACGTCACAAATAAATAGCATTAACGCCATGAACAGTGGACGTAAACTGACGTTCAAAACGCAGTATCACGGAAACTCAAATACAAACGCAGTCTCACGGGAACTCAGATACAAACATAGTCTCACGGGAACTCAGATACAAACGCAGTATCACGGAAATTCAGATACAAACGCAGTCTCACGGGAACTCAGATACAAACGCAGTCTCACGGGAACTCAGATACAAACGCAGTCTCACGAGAACTCAGATACAAACATAGTCTCATGGAAACTCAGATACAAACATAGTCTCACGGGAACTCAGATACAATGAAGCCATGATGCACTATTTAAATTAGGAATCCATTTTTGTAATGATATTTCAGTTGTTATACCTTTTTGTTGATATATCTTGAGTTGATATACACACGTAATTTTGTTGTTCGGAAGATTAGGTATAGGTACTGCAAACACATACGGCAATCATATCTTATACAAGAAACCTTTTTTTCCTATTTATAACATTTTGGCTTTACGCCATAATAATTGTTATGTAGACGGTACACCGTGTCAGCCTCTGGATCTTTCACCTTTGCCCCCTGACACTAGAAGATGTAAGACCCCCCTTGACACGGGGACACACAGGAATGTGTAACGACTGGCCGGAAGCCGACTTACCGCTGTGATAAAACACTCCCGCCACCTAACGGCAGATTCCGACACTCATCTAGGACTTTTATTTGGTAAGTCCGTATGCTGTATAGTGAAGAAAGAAGTACTGACCCCAACACACTATGAAAATCATGCCACAATTTTTTTCAGAATCCACAGCTTAATGGAATATATGCTGATTTATCGTTTGTCAATTCTGTTCTGTTTAATTGGTGGATTTACATCTCAAACATCCTAGTTTAGTTTAAATCAATTTTATTGCAACGAAAGACAAATGGATTGGACAAAAGTTATTGCAACTTACTTACGTCCTTTCCGTAACAGAAAATATATATACAAATTAAATGTGTCACGTAATAACCTAATACAAATTTATATATGTAAATATATATAAGATGTTAAAGATGGATTACAGCAAAAGAGGTAATGATAGGATTAGGGACACCAACGTATAGTTTTTAAATATGAATTCGGAGAGTTTACTTGAGATCGCGTGTGTGATTTCCCCAATCGAGTCGGCGTAAGTAGTATACCTAATCTATACACACATATCCTTCTGCTTTTCTAAAGTTCAATCACATTCCGTGCCGCATTTGCCTTTCTCCTGAACATCCTAGCCCTTGGATGGTGACATGACAAATGTCGCAGGTTAAAGGTTAGATAGTGATAGGACATACGATCTGAGCGATCACTAGGCTGATAGCCGTCCTTTGAAACTTTCACTGGAACTACGCCAAAATCAGATGCGATCTATTTTACCGCTATGCTGACGCGCGATTCCTATATCAATGAGATCATAGGTTTGCCGGATTTTGTTACAATTTCCAGACAAGTCATGATGTATCATCTGCATGGGGGTGCATACAGAGCCTTCGTGTGATGCCACTATTACAACCCTATACAGAACATTTGTATATCGAGACCTGAGCCCTTGGGTTTCGAACTTGAAAGACAGGTTCTATCTAACCCACTCTTCCTTTTTAACGGGGTCTCCCTAAGGACCTCTGGTTAGTCCGGTTTCTGTATAAGATACCCATAAGATATACTAAATTCTGCAGACTATGAGGTTTCGGCGTGGTCGCATTTTATCGAGGCCTTTGATTGGTCACGGAATGACCCCTCAATCAATGGAAGCCCTCTTTCTATGGCATTAATGATTGCTTGGACAAAAAACAACAAATTATCAACCAAACAAATATTGGACAGATAATTTGTAGCAAGCTGAGAATAATAACCGAGGATCTTAAGATACTTGCGATGGCCGGACTGTAGGACACTTCACTGTTATGGAGACTGGAGATTCCGAATGTGACAGGACTATCGGACATTTGTGTGAAGGAAAATATTTGTTGGTTTGAAAAAAGATGCCTTGCCTTGTATAATCCCTATAGCTACCTACCACCGACTACTAATCATATACAAACGAGCATTTTGTTTATGTCAGTTATTTACACCATGAATAAATGTATGGAATATTTTCAAGTGATGTAACCTGAGACACCACGAATACAGCCAAACCAGTATATACATAATTCATTGTTCGTGTTGACGGAAACATGAAAATTCGAAATATACATGTAGTACAACCATTTTATGTACTTTACGAAAACAGAAATCCAATGTAAGTGACAAATTGAGAGTCTGAATGAGTGAAAACTGAGAGCCTAAATGGGTGAAAACTGAGAGCCTAAATGAGTAAACACTGAGAGCCTAAATGAGTGAACACTGAGAGCCTGAATGAGTGAAACCTGAGAGCTTGAATGAGTGAAAACTGAGAGCCTGAATGAGTGAAAACTGAAAGCCTGAATGAGTGAAAACTGAGAGCCTAAATGAGTGAACACTGAGAGCCTGAATTAGTGAAACCTGAGAGACTAAATGAGTGAAAACTGAGTGCCTGAATGAATGCCCACTGAGAGCCTAAATGAGTGAACACTGAGAGCCTGAATTTGTGAAAACTGACAGCCTAAATGAGTGAACACTGAGAGCCTAAATGAGTGAACACTGAGAGCCTGAATGAGTGAAAATTGAGAGCCTAAATGAGTGAACACAGAGCCTAAATGAGTAAACACTGATAGCCTAAATGAGTGAAAACTGAGGGCCTGAATGAGTGAAAACTGAAAGCCTGAATGAGTGAAAACTGAGAGCCAAAATGAGTGAAAACTGAGAGCCTGAATGAGTGAAAACTGAGAGCCTGAATGAGTGAAAACTGAGAGCCTAAATGAGTGAACACTGAGAGCCTGAATGAGTGAACACTGAGAGCCTAAATGAGTGAACACTGAGAGCCTAAATGAGTGAAAACTGAGAGCCTAAATGAGTGAACACTGAGAGCCTAAATGCAGTGTCTATGTGTTTATACAATCTATTTAGCATTAGAAAAAGGAAGCCGATCAAAGAGTCAAATGTAAACATTGAAAAAAGAAATTCGGTTTTAAATCTCTCCAACGTTTTACAAATCATTGACAAAAGGAAGATTTTGTTTTATGAATTTATAACCGGAACAAAAAATTAGCATTGGGCACAAAATCCATGCTTGATTATGAGAACGGATTCATGAATACGGGCCAAGAGTCTTCATCGTAGACTGAGGCGCCTCGGGCAGAAAACAAGTAATATAATTATAAACCGGCCGCGTCTATCAAGAAATTCCTGACACTTGGAATAAACTCTGGAATAGTGAATCAACTGTAACATAAACTCCTTAAGTTGACGCATCCTTGAAATTCAAAGGTTCCATTAGCGATACACACTTCTTCCCTGCACCATTGGGATGTTGTAGTGACGCATTCAAGTGGCGCAGAGAGGGAATGTGCGGAACACTGAAATCACTGAGGAACTATGACATTTCAGTTGTTACATTAACTATGGGTTGAGATGGCCACTGTTGTTAAACTATTCAGAGAAGATGAGGAAGAGGAGTCTGTGATATCTTCATCGTCAAGTTCTGAGAGAAAATGGAATAGTAGTAGTTGCATAATAATATTATAATTGGCTGTGTGATTTCAGCTTCTGTATAAAGATAGGCTAGGGTAGCACTGGTATTCTGTTACCAACGTCATGGCGATTATACCATTCTCCTTAGCAGTGTAACGTAGACATCAAGCTTTTTGTCATTCTCCTTAGCAGTGTGACGTAGACAACAAGCTTTTTGTCTTTCTCCTTAGCAGTGTGACGTAGACAACAAGCTTTTTGTCTTTATGTAGGTGTCTGTCACGATCCCAGTCCATTTGCAGGCAAAACACCAGAGAATTCCATTGAAGTTTTAACACCTACAGTATTGCCATAATTTCTGAAGATAAATGACGGCAGTATGACGCTGTTTTCTAAATTAACTTTGTCTGTATTTAATATACTGTACTATACATTTGAGCACTTCGCCAAGAACCCAATGAAAGGAAACAAAAACTGATTTTACTTTTGTATCGTTGTCAATTTTATTAACATCTTCAACATATCATTATACACTATGTACAAAAACGTAACACTCTCACACTCATTCGTTGTAAAGCTTCAGCACTTTGGTAGAAAACAAAATCACAGATACCGCAGGCGTGTCGTCACTTCAAATTCGTGACGTCAGTACACTTTGTGATATTAAATAACAGTTGTAACGTCACTATGAATTTTTTTGAGTCGTTAGTATAAGACCGTAGCGTCACAAAAACTGCCACGTCACAAATCATGACGTTATAAAGCTTTTATGACGTTATCACAATTCATAATTTCATAATACATTCATGTGTCAATATGTATGACATCATAAATATGTGACGTCAATATACAGTCGTGACGAAATTTGAAATATACGTGTCATCAGAACACCACAAAGCTGAGTTTACGACACACAGATAACGTCGATCACGTGATATTCCAGTGATGCTAATAATGTACAATGTAATATATTCAGATGTTTAACGATCAGGTTAGATTAAGAATTACTCCATCTGCACATATTGTGACAATGATCTAATTGTATATGTGAATGAATTGAATAGAATATCACGAAATCGAGGTAGTGTCGATAGTCACATTAAAACAAGTGGATTTCATTTTACAAATAGTACACAATGCATGATAAATAAGTAATACAGTGACTTATATGTCAATTACGGTGACTATTTACAGATGAGAGGACGAGATGCGACGATACCTCGTGTAGACGAGACCCAACAGACACGACCTTCGAAATACTGTAAATCTTAAATACCATTTCTATATTTTATTGTTTGGCGTCGACAAAATTTAAAAAAAAACATTAAACGAAAATATTTTTGTTATTTCTGATTTCTGATAAAAAAAAAACCACCACGCTACACAATTTATACCATGCATTTTAGAATAAAATCCAATATTTAAAAATTAAAATGAATCAATAAAAACGTGTAAGTATAAATGTATTTGAGTTCAGCAATACCCTACATTGAATACATGAATACCTAACCTATAAACATACGGAAACTAACAAGGTCTATATTATAGAACTAGTGTACATGTCGAGTTGGTCCCGTCTGACGAGGTCTGGAATATCAATGGTACTGAAAGACAATAGTTTTAACAGCAACTCGTTGTGATTTCTACACAATAGGTCTCGGATTTTCGAAAAAAAAAGGGGAAAATAATAATTATTATCCGAATCAGATTTCGGTTTCCAAACTTTTTCAGTAACATGCAAATATGTTGATTTCATTATTTTTCTATTCATAACATGAATGTTCGAAATAAGAAACAAAAAGAAATAATAACAAAATAAAAATATTTTGCAGTTTCATTTGAAGTGTTTAAAAAACCCGGAAAATTATATAAACTGTATATGAAATAATATATTGTAATAAATAAAAAATCGATGTATCCATTAATATGGTTTGATTTGAAGTTACTTAACTAAAAATAAATAAAATGAACTAATGATCATTGTGAGGATTATCAACATTTAAAACGTTTTTCTTTTTTCTTTCGAGAATCCCGGGCCGGATCACGTTATTCGGTGTATATCACCTAATCGTGCTGGTCATTATTATAAAAGCGACCAAAGTACTGGACATAAAAACAAGTAAATGCAATTATTATTAATAACATCTTTCTCACACTGGCAACTAACTCCCAAGTTTACCCTTACTTTCTCTTTTCTTGAAATATACATCGAAGCATGTAGTGGTCTACTTTCTTGATTAAATGCGATCTTTGATATTCGTGAGTATTCACGAATCTTTATCGAAGATCTATTTTTTGTCACCAAATATGTTAAAATAGTAAATTTTAACACATTTTCTTTCTTACAAAAGCATCGGGCTTTAGCAAGTCTATTTTGCACGAAAAATAACAAGAAAGCAGCCCCTTTGATGGCTAAATGAACATTGAAATATTGGTTGATATCCTACTGGGACTTGGGCAGGTATCTAACAAATTAACGAAGACGTCGAGTTCATAACCAAGAAACAGTGGGGGACATGATATGTTAGTTTCAGAAACTCTTCTAAAGAATATACTGCTTTTACAGAGCAGCAAAACCAACCTCAAACAAAACTACACCACATACACCCACAGTCTCCCTTCATACTGCACCATCCACCTCATCTTTGGTTATCGTTATAAAACTCAAACTATATTAAATGCAATCTTATACCACACACATTCACATCTCACGAAGTTAGTTAAACCTGCATGGTCACTGACGGGATCGTGTCTGGCTGTATCACACCAACGCTTGGGATCCATCACACTAGGTTTAGTTAACTTTGCATTTGATTTCCAAAATAGAAACTAACGAAAATACCCAATAAATAAGCAATAGTTCTTGTGTTTTGTTCTATGAATTGTTTTGTGTGATTGATTTATCATAACGCATTGTTTGTTTTGAATTAAATTCGAAATTTTTAAAATAAAATATTTTGAATCGTTTTTATGTGAAGCTAACGATACTTTGATCGACGTGGAGTTGAGAAGGGATAAATGGCGTTACGTTTCGTTAACATCAATTTCTATCTGTACAGAGGTAAGGAATTATCGAATTAGCGTTGATAAGTTCACATTTGTTTTCCATAAATGTTCAAACAAGTATGTCTATCGCCCCGTCAGATTGGGAAGTCTTTAATTAAAGGTCTTTGTAGCTCGCTACCAATTATAACCGGTTGCACGTTGACGATAAATCACTACTGTTGTGCATATGTATATATATTCCCGATTCAATTTGCGAAGAGACTTATGTAGTGATTGATGTTTTTTTCAAGCAGTTAAAAAACCATGCAATGAATTATGTTCATTTTGCAAATTGAAATGTTTGCGAATAAATTAAAAAAAAAAATGCGAAAAAATAGAACGATTTACAGTAGTGAATCACAAATATCTAAATGTCAACATGTTTTAGTGTTTTAGTTAGCTTTCAAGTTTAATTACTGTTAAAACCTTCACTGATGGATTTTAGTGTATAGCATAAAACTAAGGTTCTTTGCTAATCCAGCGATTTTCAGTCAGTCTTAAAAAGGACTTGACCACTGCTTCTACTCTATCACACAATGCTGAAATAACTTCAACACTCATACCACGTGATTTAGTCCTGACGTCATGACAGTGCGTTTACGATTTGAGCACATAAGACGGCATACAAATACCACGTGATAACTGAAATACGATCACATGACATTTCAGTAATGTGATATTTACATACGATCACTAAGCCTCTAGAACTGTGCTACATATGATTATTGCACATTTTTATATCACCGGTATGTTTCCGTCGTTTGTTGTACTGCCTTGGAATACTTGCTTTGTGTGTCTGTATCACTGTTTATACATCTGTCTATGGTACCCACGGTCTCTGTGGCAGAGTTATTGTGGTAAACATTGTATAACCACACTTAGCTTAAGTTCGGTGAACTGTTACAATGTTTGAGATCACAACGTACTTTGTTAACAGATTCCAAACGCAATCACGTGACAATCCTTTTTGGTCCCATTACAAATAATGCTTTCAAAGTCGGTCAAGGTCTCTCAACGGCTCCTCATAATTCTGCAAATAGATAAACAAAACAGATAAGATATGGTGGTGCTTTCATATTTTGTTATTAAATGATAATTGGTTTTTTTAATTCAACCTATGAAATTTCATTTTTATTCCTACAGGAACTTCAATAAAGTGTTTTTAGCTTCTCAATTGTAAACATTTTGTACAATCACAGCTCAGAGCGTAAAAAGATGCTGCTTCAAATGAAAGCATTAATGTCGACGTGACCTTGACGTCCCATTTACTAAGTAATGTTATCAAACTACGTACATTAGAAAATTGTTAAATTGTGCGTGTAAATCGCGTCAGGGACACACGATTTGCCTGTTCAGCGCATTTTTAACACCGATTAGAACATGACATAGAAACAGACGAGCACGTGATATCGCACGTGTCGAATTACTACTGGAACACGTAAACGACAAACCGTGTCAAATAAATAAGAATAAATTGAGCGAGAGATCGTAAATCTGTAAAAGAAGAATTCCATGTTCAATCTCAAGTAACTGCATGTTTCTATCAAGCTGTGGACTGGACATACCACCGTTTATGTCGGTTCACCGCGATTTTTCACCAAGTCGTATTTGACGTTTTCATTGGTTTATCCTGTGGTAATACGTACATTATACAAAGCTTTGTCGGTATAATCACCGTATCAGTATCCTAACCGTGTCTAATTGACTTTAATTATTGACGTGTTTAATGAAATTTCGTTTCAATATATCTTCTATTAAATATGAGTGGAAATGTGCATTTTTGTACCAATTATCGTTCATGTATAGTTTTGCTTTCAATTTCAATAATTACGAATAAAATTGTGATTTTAAATCAACCTTTAGATGACATGAATAAAAATGATGCGTCAAGAAAAAAATGATTCAGAGAAGAGAAAACATATTCCTGTATTACAGTGATCATATTGAAAATAAAACTCTTAAAATTACGGAAAAGAAATATCTCGTAATTAGGTTTGAAGGGAATTTGAAGTCAAACTAAATAATGTCCGTACACGTCTGTCTTATCTGGCTAAACCTCAGCCAGGACTGCAATCAAAACAGCGCTGGAATCTTAAATGATTCAATCTGCCATTGACCGTTTTACAGATATTTTCATCAATTCTATTAAGAAAACAATAAGCTGAGGTTTCAACGTCTCTCTACAATCTTTCTTTGACGACATTTGTCTCCATTTACATCTATTAGTGCCGCGACACGGAGTGGTGACATATTAGTGCCCCCGACACGGAGTGGTGACATATTAGTGCCCCCAACACGGAGTGGTGACATATTAGTGCTCGCGACACGGAGTGGTGTCATATTAGTGCCCCCGACATGGAGTGGTGACAAGGCGATAAGTTATACATTTACATTTATTAGTGCCCCCGACACGGAGTGGTGACATATTAGTGCCCCCAACACGGAGTGGGGACATATTAGTGCTCGCGACACGGAGTGGTGACATATTAGTGCTCCCGACACGGAGTGGTGACATATTAGTGCCCGCGACACGGAGTGGTGACAAGGCGATAAGTTATAAATTTACATTTATTTGTGCCCCCGACATGGAGTGGTGACAAGGCGATAACTTATACATTTACATTTATTAGTGCCCGCGACACGGAGTGGTGACAAGGCGATAAGTCATACATTTACATCTATTAGAACCCGCGACACGGAGTGGTGACAAGGCGGTAAGTCATAACTGACAATCCGTATTAAGAACCATCATTAACCTCTTGATTTGTGTGTGTGTAAGGTTTCCGTACTTGTGAGAAAGTAAAACTTTGTCAAACTAGACATGTTATAAAGATATTTTCTCGATGATTTCGATATTGTTTCGCTTTTTACCCTGAAATCGATTCTTTCCTTTTTGTTAAATTAAATGTCTCAATCCTATACATTGTATTGTTATGCTAACGAAATTATACTCAGAACGCGGAGAGTTTTAGAAACATCCCCCAAAAACCCAAACAGGTTTATTATATATGGTCTCAAAATGTCGGTAATTCAGAAAGCACAAGTTGTTTTGTACAGGTGGTATTTTAGTTTAATACCTAACATTGTCTTTATTTGTGAGGCGCAAACGCTGTATGAGTTGACGTGAATGCATTTTTTAGTGACGGGTACTATACTGAGTATTCGGTATGACTTGTAAACAGTATACTCCATAATAAATGTTGACATAAAGTGATGACGTGTACACAGAGAGCGATAACGTGTACTCACCATCACAGAGAGCTGCCCAGAAAGATTCCTTTAATGCCATCAGCGCGGCGTAATCCGGCACTTGGAAATAATGCTGTGTTGTTGGCGCGTCACTCATCATACGGGCTTCCGTCGATGACTCCTCGTCCTCTCCGACCTGTATGACAAACACCTCGATTCCGTGTATCCTTGCGCGTTGTGCTTCGGTTAGTGCCCGGATTGGCTCTTCAAGTTTCCCGTCGATGATAAGCACGGCGATTTTGCGGACCTCTTTTCGACCGCCGTTGTCTGCGCTGAAGGCTCCTCGTCGCATTTGCTTTAGGATTTGAGAAATGTCAGTCCCTCGAATATTTGATAAAGATTCCAACACACCGTCCTTCTGTTGTCTTTGACCAAGGGCGAATCCCGTCTCATCGTCCTGGCATTCTGCCGACATTAGACCGACCTGAATCTTGTCTGTGTCCACGTCAATATCGTGTACCAAGGATCGAATGAAGGCCAGCGCGCGTTTCGTGTTTTTCTTCCCGGCGTTCATACTGTCCAGAATGAACATGAGGTCTGCAGCTTGACGTGATCCGCATGCTGAAATAGACATATGGCATTGTTTTTATCTCATTCCTTTCGTTCTTTTCAATTTGAATGTACCGTAATCTAGTGAGGCTGCACTCCTAAATGCAAGAAACTGGTGTAAAATTAAGAAAACTCGCAATGCGAAATAATTTTTAGTAAACGATCAAGTTTATTGATAAATTTCGAATTCGTCCTGGAGCTTCTCTTATTGGCAAAGCCTGAGCTTATGTCCACGTTTATATTTAATAAATCGACCACGAGGCACGCCGTGATCAACTGATACCTTTTGTACTTACATTGCTCTGATATGGCTATGGCCGGCTCAGGAACTGGAAAAAAAGAATCATAAAACTATTAATATTTTGTCCCATTAAACACTTAGGATAAGCTAAGGTTATGTGGTCCTTACCATTATTCTAGACCTAAGGTCCTTTCCTTACTATTTGTTCCATGGTCTATGCAAATGTATACCTAATGACTTAAAATTATCAATCATACGGTAGGTTACTTACATTTAACGTGATTCATATTTTCGCGTAATTTCACGATAAGAATCAAAAGTTAAATGTATCATTATTATACCGATCATTTATACACAAGGTAAGGCATATATTTTCTCGTGAAACTAAAACAGCTCAGGGGAAAAATTGACATTTTCAAAATAATAGCCAGTCCAAACACATTTTCATAGTTTCTGAGCTTATTCTGGTAGTTGGAATGAGAGAAAATACTCTTTTATGCCCAAGGGTGTAGGATTGGGACATTCCATCCTCAGCAAAGCTTCGGGTTTTACCAAATTTGAAACCCCTCGGGTGGAGTTTCCCTTTCCTACATCCCTTGACATGAAAGAATCTGATATTATTGAACAATCGCAGGTAAAAGACAAGAGAGTGAGCTACAAACTATCACGTATTGGAAGTATACCATATGTCTTAAGTTACTGTTGGTGCCTTTTCGTGTGGAGTCTGAACTCCGTTTACCTTAGAAAATACAATGATGGAAATTTGTGTAGTTACCATTACAGGATTGAATGGCCAGTTGCGCTAAGATGGTCTGCATGTCATCGAAGGAGGGCAGTGTATAGTAAATACCATCCTCCTCCGTGCCAGATATAGCTCGAAGCTCTTCAATGTTGACGTCACCAATTCCGATCGGGATAAGAGTAATTCCTGCCTCTCGTGCCCTGGAAGCTTCGATCTTTGAACGGTGGAGGTACATAGCGGGACTTCCGGTTATAATAATTGCTACCTGGGAGGCGTCGTCCCTGGCAACCCTTCTTCGGAAAGTCTTTGTTCGGATATACCTAAGAGCCTCGCTCATTCGAGATCGTCCAGCTGATTTAGTGACCTTGTTTAAAGATTCTTTCATGCTCTCTGCGTCAGCAAAATCGTCAAGTTCAAATATCCGCTGAATCTGGTCGCTGTAAAGGAATGCCGCAACTCTTGTAGTCTCAGGAGATATGGACATCAGCTCAATCATATTCTTAGCGAAGTCGACTTGCTGGTAAAATTCATTCGTTCGCACATTGTTGGAGGAATCAAAGGCAAAAACTATGTCGGTCTGTCTATCTGAACACACTGTAAATTAACAAAAAAATCACAGGTAAGATTTACGTAAATACAGTTGAAAAGATTTTCTATCAAAACACGGAAACAGCCCTTCAATATCGATAAGTTTATACACTGTAGCCTGATTTAAAATTCAGAACATGCTCCATGATTTCATTTGGGTAAATGTTTAACTTATTTTGTCATGCTTTTTTGAATCAACACTTGAACTTGAACAGTCACACTGGCTGTGGTGGTATCAAATTATGCAACTAGATCATTGGAACTTTCGGTCGAAGGATGACACGAATGGACGTATCTGCCCGAGAAGCCTTTGACAAGCTACTTAATACCATATGAGATAATCCTTATTGACGCCCGACGCCCCGTAAATCGGCTACGTGAGTGTGAAGTCAAATACGATATCAAACAGCTGGAGTAGCATCTACTTTTGTGAAAATCATTTCACGACCGATTGAGAGAATTCATAATTTGAGCATTAACATATAAAACGTATTGAAATATTACCGCAAACATCTACAGACTTACTCTAACCTAGATGAAATTTGATTACAAGATACATCATTTCATACTTAAAATATTTCAAAAACATTCGCAGTCACCAAAATGTAGTGGTTGCCGATGTAACGTAATACTATAACAGATACCTTTCATTATTGTGAACATTCACACATTATAATAAACTTAACAAAATTAAAAGCACTGTTTTTAAATGTCTACTTACCACTGCGTGCTAGCTCTAATACGGAAGTGGTTGTCGTGGTGGGCGTGGTTGTAGTTGTAGTGGGCGTGGTCGTGGCTGTAAATAAAAGCGTAGTGTATATAAATATTTCGAACAGATTTCATTAGTAATTATGAAAATTCAGTTATCACATAGTTTAAATATCGTGATGCTACAGTCTTAATTTTACGTGACGGGTATTGGACTTTTCTTCTGTATTTGTTACAATAATAATACGTTATGTTCAGTTTCCAAACAAATTGGGACAAGAAAATTATGCATACAAATAAAACTTGTACTGATAAATTCGCTTAAAAGACACTGAATCCGTTACAGGAACCCTAGACAACTAGTCCCACAGTTTGAGAAAGCATAACATAACGATGTTCAAACAAATTGTTTTCACCAAGATCATAAATGCTCAATATCTTTCGTATTCTATGTTGCTTCTGAAAATGATATCTATGTATAGGTCGTAGTCTACTCTGATCTCGAACTATCAACAGAGGTTCCCTCGCCTATACCTAGACTCCAGACTTAATTTGTACTTTAAGTGCGCAGATCTCCAAAATACGAAAAACTGCAAAACAAATTAAAGGATGGAAAGGCTTGGAAGCAAAACGAGTTGTTGGTGACTTGATATCTTTATAGAAACATATGTAACTACATATACAAACACAGGAGCTAAGTTTTTTTTCTGTGTTGTTACATGAATACCATACTGATTACTCAGCAAACTTTGATCACATTTCAAAGTGGCTTCTCAGATGAAGAAGCATTTCATTATCTGTCTACAGAAATACTCGTTCTCGTTTGTCCACAGGAAGTTGCGGTAAAGCTTGTGGTTTTGACATCTGTGATGCAGACAACATAGAACGCCTAAACCTCTTCACTGTACATAGAGAAAGGGAAACTAGAGGTCCCGTGCCTACCAATCTACTTTCCAGAAGCGTCGCAATACTACAGCAATAAATACGAGTTTATGTAACAACAATTAGCATCTGTAAGTGATTGTGTAATTCCGTATGCACTGTAATTGTACACTTATTTCCATAATAAACTCCTGTGTGCAATTTACTGTGCACAGACTGACACACGTGGATGTCAAACAGAGTGATTAGCGCAGTTATTTTGATATGAGTACTGAGGTAGAGAACTGGGGGTATCATTACAGAATAAACCAATACTCCAGTGAGTACAGCCTATCATATTTAACCACATCTACGCCTAACATGCATTACCAATACTCTCTACGACCTCTTGTTGGAACCCCTGTCTACTTCACGATTTATACCCCAGCGAGATGACTCGTGAGTGATGATAAGTGATCAGAGAGGAGGAATCCTTAGTAAGTACTAACGAAGGCCTTGGCGAGATTGAAACCAGGAGTGAGTCACAGTCAGGGTAGGTTACTATAAAACCTATTATTTTCACGTGGTTCTTTATTTCGCTCTTCGCGGTCGATACTTTTTCGGAGAAAAAATAAAACCCTTGTAAAACGTTTTGTTACATTTGAGATTAATTACAGCAACTCTCTCTATATGTTTTAGCCGGCCTGTACCAGGTCTTTTCAACTACCCTTAAAAATAATACCTATGATTTTCAATTATAATAGAAATTCGCGAAAAAATTGAGTCAACGAAAAAAAAGTCGCTCTGCAGTATGCTACAGTAACAATGAAAAAAGATATTGAGGATTGTCGGCGGTAAAAGGCATCTATAAACCGTGATGTATCGATTTCAACACTTGTGGACATTTTGATTTTCGTGCATTTTCTGTCGGTGTACAAGAAACCTTGCTAGACTGACAGTTTAGTTTTATTGACCACGTGATACTTACTGGTGGGCGTGGTTGTAGTGGTGGTCGGCATGGGTGTGGTCGGCATGGGTGTGGTGGTGGTTGTTGATGTTGTGGTTGTAGGACGAGGGGTAACTGAAAAACACATACAACAATATTTAAACGATATTCATCGATTTGTTGAAAAAATATATTCACCCAACAATTCGAACCTTGAAACGAAAGCTACATTAATTACATTTTTCTTTATATTTTCTCATCACTCAATTTTGAAATGGTTATCATTTTTTTGTTTTGTTACACGTTATATATTTTGTCTGAACCGATCCATTGTTCTGTATTAGAATTTTTAGTAAGTTTAAAGCGTTAGAATATCACTGAAAACACAAACATCGTCCATATTTTCTAAAGATACACTTAATCTACACAAGAAAAAAATATTACAGAAGCAAAACATTAAAATGATCATGCAATGTATGTATATCAGTCAATGAAGGACCTCATATTCAGAAATAATATTTACGGTCCATACATGGAAATTTTGGCTGATTAACCGAAATAGCGACCGGGACTCATTTTCTTAATCTTCCAAGTCTAGTAAGGTCAAGTTTACAATCTTTTCCAAACTTCATTGTAATTTAGGACAGTACTGTTGTTCTGAGAGAAACCTTTTAATCTAGTGCATGCTGTCGTCTTTTTGTTTTGTTTTGTTTGTTTTTTAATTGTGAGAATATTGGTGATTCGTAAATGAATAATTGAACATTTCAGGGTTATTCCGTAAATCTAGGTGTTGCTTCATTATGTAGGTTAGTGTTTCTGTAGAGTACAAAGCCACTTCAGGCGGTAATGCTCACGGGTACGTATAGTACTGAAGTATAATGTTACTGTGGTAGGGTAATGCTACTGGTGTAGACTAATGTTTCTGTCGAAACATAGAAATGTATACAGATTTGGTTCCATGTACAGCTGTTTGTAGAAAGTCAAAACGACTTTAAATGTCGTGTTTTGTGTTTATAAAACCATCAAAGTGACGGATCACTTTGTACGTAAATGTGTAATGATATTTTACCTGTGATGTAAGGTATGTCGTGTTTTACCTGAGAACCAGGTAACGACAGATAGGATCAGAGGTTGACAGTGTAGAAAACCCAGCCAGATTTTCATCAGTTATTTTTACTGTATTTTTCCTTTACGGAATTAGCTTGAAGGGGGATTTCATCGTGGGGAATAAATTACAACACGAAGCAAAAACATTAACGGACTACCCTGTTACCTCGCTGTTTAAACAGGCGTTTGCTAGGAAGGTTTGTGGTAGTCCTATAACAGGAAAAGACTACAATTATTGTGTAAATATTATCATACACCAAAGCCATGGATTATAAATATTTATATAACTCTTGATAAAAATACTGTTGTGAATCTGTTGTGATTCAAAATATATCAAAATATCGAAATTTTTGTAAAACATACAATCTTTGATCAAATTCAGCCCCCTTGTATATTAAAGATTAACTAATTTCTTCATCGAAACAAGTGTAAGGTCAAAGTAGATAAACATCCTGGCAGTATTGGGATTTATAACACAATTCAGGGATAGATAATGATTTCACGTATCCTGTTTCAATAGTTTGAATTTACCTGTGACAAGTGTCAAGGCAATTTTATACCTCTTATTCCAAACGGCCTCAACTTGTTCCTACAATTATTTAGAATAAGATTTTATCGGGGTTAAAAACAGAAGCGGAATCTGACAAACAAATAAAAATGTTGGTAATGTTCTTGTATTTCCTTTCCTTTGAAATGAATACCTGACAATGAAGTTTTTCGTAAAACCTATCAGCTATGGTGCAACTTAATTGTGTTTTTAAAGAGTTGTTTATATTGTTTATTCGCATATAGACCAGTAGGTTTTTTTGCGAGCTAATAACTCGTCTGAAAAAACACACGTGAAAATAAGAAATCACAATAATTCCTGGACTACGGTTTAGATGATAACGGTGGAAGTGATCTGTATAAGTTTGAGAGTTTGTGTGTATACTTGTTCATTCAATGTTGAAAGGAACATAAATATTCGTAAAAATTAATCAATTTATTGCTGTCCGTGTAAATCCGTACCCAGACATGGTTAGGTAAATAGGATATCTAACCAATGGTCGATGGAATTGTGTCACTATACGGTAATTTACTATGTTATTTCCTGCCTGACACCTGCAAACATGATTACTTAGAAACTACTTTTAATTGCAAATGAAGCTTCCTATCCAAGGCCGTGTGTTTGAAACGTTCCATTAATATGGCAACATGACATATTGTATATTGGGGGAAAAGTGTCGCGGTGTTTACGTACGTTTGAGAGAATTACTTAGGTATTTAGATTCCTATCATAACTCAAGGTGTAATGGTGTACGTAACAAATCTCGCTGTATCATGTATAAATGTTTGTATAATAAAGGTACGGATTAGGCTCCTATAACGATAATACGCATACAAGTAACTCAATATTGTAACGGAGTGTAATTGACTCAGTATAAGTGTAATTGACTCAGTATAAGTGTAATTGACTCAGTATAAGTGTAATTGACTCAGTAAAAATGAAATTGACTCATATAAGTGCAATTGACTCAGTATAAGTGTAATTGACTCATATAAGTGTAATTGACTCATATAAGTGTAATTGACTCAGCATAAGTGAAATTGACTCAATAACCCTATACAATTAAGTGACGTTTCATTGACTCAATATCGTAACTATTGTATTAAATTATAATTGACTCAATAATTGATCTGTTGTACCTGACATCAAAATTGAATCAATGAAGGTTTGTTAAACCCAGTAACCTTACACTTGTAATAGGGGTTCATTTGACATATTTTGTGAAATTGTTATGTTTTGCAGTTTTAGAAAGTCCATTGAAATATTGTCGCATATGACTTAACCACATGAGAAAAGGCAGCTTGGTAAACCTAGCTACATCCCACTTGCGGCGTATAAGCCTTACATATGTCCTATTCGTGCACGATATGTTACGAGATGTCAGTACCAGGTGAAGATTGTTTGGGTATGTGGAGGTATTTACCACATTGGTATTGGATAAATATTACCGGGTATCACATATATCTACACGTAAACATCAATACATATCTAAGTTAGCTATTTAATGATCGTATAGTGTACATACCGACACACGTCTTGATAGCCAGAATGTTTTTGATGGACTCGAGCGCCTGGAAGTTGCTGACTTGAAACATGTAATCGTGGGTAGGTTTGCTTGCGATCCCTCGCAGTTCACGTCGGTTGATGAAAGAACCGATTCCAATGGCGAACATATGGATTCCCTCGCGGCGAGCTTTCATTGCCTCCCAGACAGTCCGAACCACACTATTGGACTGGCCATCTGTCAAAACTACGGCCACCTTCACTACTCCGGGTCTAGCGCCTCTTCGTTCACTAAACATCTTCCTGCGCATAGTCCAGATAGCCAGTTTGGTATTTGTGACGAATCCCCTCCTCTGACGGACTCGGGAGAGAGACTGGTGCAGGGAGGGACGGTCAAAGTTTTCGTTTAGGTGAAATTCCGTGTGAACATCTGAACTATAGGTAGCAAGACCGATCCTTGTTCTGTTCTCACCAATTTGAAACATATCGACGACATCATTGATGAAGTTGACTTGTCTGAGGAAGTCTGGGCCCCAAATACTGTTGGACGAGTCAATAAGGAAAACAACATCTGCTGGCGTGTTCCCGCAGAAGTACTCCACAGCTGAAAGGAAATCATGATGTGAGAGAAACGGACGTACAGGACAGACACAACAAGAACAAAAATCAGACGTATGGACGCACAGGACAGACACAAATTGAACAAGATCTCAGACGTATGGACGTACAGGACACACACAGCATGAACAAGATATCAGACGTATGGACTGACACAGTATAAACAAAACAGACAAGGTATCAACAATATATGAGACAAACGGACTAACGGACCATATCTGAACTTAACATTTATGACGTTCACACCTTAGAAGTCAAGACATGACAAAGATTTTGCCCTGCTGATTACAAATGGAGAACATCGAAATGATAGAATAGCATTCACATAATCTTACGACATCATGAAAAGAATATACAAAAATTAATACAATATCAGGACAACCCATGTCTATACTTATTATATCGAAACTATCAACCACAGGAAGCTATGCTGGACGCCGATAGCAAGGATATAATTACTTTCTTGGTAAAATCGGCTGTTGCATTTAGTACAGAGTTGGCCCTTGATGTCAAATACATGTAATATATGACGTCTAATGTCAGAAACATGTATCATGTCACCAGCGGGATAACGTTAATTCCAAATTAACATTCATTGGAGACGTCAATAAATTCTCACTGCATGTGTACAGATGTCTCGCGTTAACGCCCACTGCATTTTAATTCTTCCGGATATCAATCCTATAAGCTCGAGTTCTAGTTTACATACGTGTCAAATCAAATCATTGTCTGTGTAAGGTTTGTACGCTTACTGACTGCTTCTTTTCATATTTAATGTCTTATTTAAGACAAACGATCTACATTTGAAGCATGTCACGTGATGGACAGGCGTGACCATCGGTCAGTTAAACATCTTCTCATCCAGTCACGGTGATTTATCACTGATTTCTCCTAAACATTGAACGATTGATCATACCTGTCAGTTAAAATGTATAATAATTCATACCTACAATAGAGATGTTTTGTAAATTTTTGATCAAAGGCATGTTTAGTTCTTTACCATACAGAACACAGGTATGCATTCCTATTTTTATTCAGAGCCATCTCTATTTACATACGGCATTTCACGTATTACTTTCGCGAAAATGTTCGAAGCGATTCTATCGCAAATTCGATTATTTTGAAAAAAATGTTCCGACACGATAAAGCAATAAAGATATTAATTTTACAGAAATTCAGATTAGGTTGTTTCTAGTATTACAATATTTATAAGTTAAGAAACCATTATCATCTCTTCATTTTATATCGCTCAGTTAACTGTAATCAACTAAAATATTCGTGATTTTATCTATCTGGATTTTTCGCGGGTATTTCGATAAGTTAGGCGAGACAAATAAATGTTTATATCGTTGCTTGAAGGTATGATATTTTACTTCATTCACGAGTACTTCCCTCAGACATTTACGCGTAAATAAAAGAAGGGTAAATGATTTAAAGTATTACAGTCTGAGGGACGTGTTTATACGGGGTTATATATAGGACGATGTGTTTATGTTACGATGTATGATCCGATTCAGTCAAGCGTAACCATTTTACATAAAATATCAAATACATATCTCTCAGTTCGCTATTAGTAACGACTCTAAGTTTGAACGTTTCCCCTGTGTGTTGACACTGTGGTATATTTTTAGTTATTTTAGTTGATAAAAAGACATATGTTTTGAGATGCAATCACACCTGTATTGTTGTTGGATTCATGTATAAAGCAATAACATTATTGCATAAAATAGTTACGTAACTCCTCTAATTTAACAGACATGGCGAGACCTTTCTCATCAAACACCTCTTCCATATAGATAAAAATGATGAGGCGCGTTTAGACTATGATATCATCATGAACCAGGAAATTCTACCACGCATAGCTAACATTCATCGAGGCGAGACATCACACAATTAAAGCTAAACTCTGCACCGCCCACATCCGTCGGTTATTAATTACTGAGAGAGGCTCGCGATATCGTGTATAGAGATGCAAAGACATCTGAATCAGGAATCCTGAATAAGGTAACAGCGGGATTCCAAAACTATGCGTTTAGGAAATCGTTTAAGAGTTATATAATGTCTATATGACACACCTTATAAATGAAATATGTAAGGTGGAACCTCCCTACTCGAGAAATTGTACATGGAATTTCTTTTTCAATATGCATTACGTAACTATTATCCCTTGCACCTAGAGGTGAGAATTTGTGTAGTTGATCCTTATTTACAGTTATCGTACACCATTGAAAATAAGAATTTATAGATTAACGTAGCATAACTAATATAGCTTAAATATTCAGCGTCATAAAAAGGTAACCTCGGTCTAGTAAACTTGTTCATTTCGACTACAACCACACATCCTGACTTGATCGTCACTCTGTTTATGTCGCGGGCACTATCTATCTAAAATAGTCACCAATGATATCGGGTATCGTGTAATTCCTTTGGTGTTAGGTATCGATCGTGGTTAGTCAAGGAAAAGAAAACTTGACTGATCTCAGAAATACGAAACTTAATCTTCGTGTATGGTACATAACATACTACATCTGATGGATTTATCAAAAGTGTACTGCTTTGTTATATTTAGTGTCGCGTACCTGGTAACACTTACCGCTGGGTATATATGTAGTGCTACTTATTCTAGACGGGATTGTTATAGCGTTGAATTCGTGAATTAAACATCGCAGAGATCACTGTGGTCCAACATGGATGTTATAAACAGGCACCTTATCTAGTTTTCTGTACATATTGCAATCACATATACTACTTTGAAATGGTTTTAGGACCCAAACAATAGGTGAGCAGGCGTGCTGAGAGTCCTGGTTCCCCGTGAAAGGTTCACACTGAACATTGTCTGAGACACGTAAAATACTATTTGAGAATTAAATTGTCAATATATCGGCACCATAGCGGAAACAATTACGTACATACACGGCTTGGAAAATCAATGTTATAGAAAATTACTGTAAAGTTTAAAACATTATATCTGGTGATAAGGTAACGATGTAGCAGTATAACGGAGGCAGAATCAGCTGTAACATGTTACTTAAAGTAGAATCAGCTGATAGACGTAGAAAAATGTTTAATAAGTTACTGTAACGTTGTACTTAAAGTAGAATCAGCTGAAAGACGTAGAATGATGTCCAACAAGTTACTATACTGTTCTGAGGCAGACACAGCTAATAAACATATAACGGTTTTTCACATGCTACTACATGTATAACTATAAAATCCATTTCATGGGTTTATTGACGTTGATATCTAACTCTGAGTATGGAAATACGACATATTATCCTATTGTAGTGTCGGAGTATAAACCGAACATTTCAAACAAGAACTAGCCACTCTTCCCAGAACGGGTCGGCAGTTGATTGGTAGAATTGATCACACGACTTTGAGGTTCCCAATAGTTATGATTTCTTTATTAATAGAACCAGTATTAAGGGACTACTTTTGGATTACCAACGGCTGTCTCTTAATATAGTTTAGATTAATCATATCTCTGACTTGATTCCTTTAACGACGGGTAGGCCTGTTCTTGAAGATACTTTGTTTAGTGAATATATCAATATTTACATTATTTCCGGTATTACTCGGCAAAGATTTCCATGATAACTTTACGGGACTACTCGGAAGCAATTTCTGGGATTCATCGGTGGTTATTTCTGTGAAAACTCGGCGGATTTTTCTGGGATAACATTAAGTTGGAATTTTGAAAAAATAAATAAAAAAATAAAAAATAACAAAAAAGTTTATCATTCACAGTCCGAAAACTCAAGAAAAAACAATGAAGTAAGAGAGATTATAATCTTACTACATTCAAACCTTGACCAGGATGTGTTACTGTCTACATGGTTCTCAAGGACGATATCATAAATCTACCGGATCGAGCAGTCTCGTAATGTGTCTTTGATCGCCGATGTATTTACCTCTGTGGCACAATAGCGCGGTTGTCTGATGACGAGACAACAAACCACAATTCATAACGACCATGGACCCATGCATAGCACGTTTTACGAAAAGCAATTTACCCTTATGACATTTTGATAGTTATATCGTTTGAAATTCTATTAGTGAAATATTACATATATATAAATAAGTTTTTCACAGACATTAGAAAACAACTAACACGGGGTATGTCATTAAGATGCTGATGCTTTGTATGTTAGGTTCCTATACGAGTTCAAACTGTCAGACTAAACTACACTTGGTATTTAAAACCAGCGTAATATATTTATAGGCGTCAATGGAATAGCTGTAGGTAAACCGCGACGTTCTGTGTTCCGGGGCACAGTTGTAAACTTTGATGTTCACGTGACACCTGATGATAAGGTAAGCCGTAGGGACTGATGAGGCTCAATCGTTCATCTACACCGTGTAATCACTGCGCATATAAACCTTATATCTGACACAGAATGCAATATGACGATGTCGATAATGAGAAAATATAAACTAAAAACATCAATGCAAATATAATTCGTTAAAAAAAAACCCATGAAATATCAGAAGATTTTCACTAACGACTGAAAGCGAGTGCGGTGGATGTTGATATCAGATTGATTCATCACGCGGCGGATGGGCGCAGGCTGACCCGTATACAGATATAGCGCACTACTTCACCAGCAGGCTGACCCAAAGACAAATATAGCACTACTTCACCAGCAGGCTGACCCAAAGACAGATATAGCACTATTTCACCAGCAGGCTGACCCACAGACAGATATAGCACTATTTCACCAGCAGGCTGACCCACAGATAGATATAGCACTATTTCACCAGCAGGCTGACCCAAAGAAAGATATAGCACTATTTCACCAGCAGGCTGACCCAAAGATAGATATAGCACTATTTCACCAGCAGGCTGACCCACAGACATATATAGCACTATTTCACCAGCAGGCTGACCCACAGACAGATATAACACTATTTCACCAGCAGGCTGACCCACATACAGATATAGCACTATTTCACCAGCAGGCTGACCCACAGACATATATAGCACTATTTCACCAACAGGCTGACCCACAGACAGATGTAGCATTATTTCACCAGCAGGCTGACCCACAGACAGATTTAGCCCTATTTCACACCAGCAGGCTGACCCACAGACAGATATAGCACTATTTCACCAACAGGCTGACCCACAGACAGATGTAGCATTATTTCACCAGCAGGCTGACCCACAGACAGATTTAGCACTATTTCACACCAGCAGGCTGACCCACAGACAGATATAGCTCTATTTCACCAGCAGGCTGACCTACAGACAGATATAGCACTATATCACCAACAGGCTGACCCACAGACAGATATAGCACTATTTTACCAACAGGCTGACCCACAGACAGATATAGCATTATTTCACCAGCAGGCTGACCCACAGACAGATTTAGCACTATTTCACACCAGCAGGCTGACCCACAAACAGATATAGCACTATTTCACCAGCAGGCTGACCCACAGATAGATATAGCACTATTTCACCAGCAGGCTGACCCAAAGACAGATATAGCACTATTTCGCCAGCAGGCTGACCCACAGACAGATATAGCACTATTTCACCAGCAGGCTGACCCACAGACAGATATAGCAATCCTTCACCAATACAAACCCAAACTGACAAAGCTTCACGTACAACGATCACAATTGAACTGACACACGTGGTAACTTACCACCGATAGGAACAACACGCGCCGAATTCTGTAAATAGAAACAAAAAAATAGTTAATAACAATATTTTTTCACATTATTAAAACCGCAGATACAATGCTGCACGGACCTGTATTTCAATGATTATCGGCGAATTAGCAGTACGCGAGATCACCGCTGTTTACAGTAAGAACACTTCACGTTCTTTCGATATTGTTTCCAAAATTTGAGATGATGCAAAAATGACAATCAATATTGAACAGTGAAATGTAGGAATCTGTAATGAATTAACAAGGTCTGCTGTGTACTGTGGGATGTGTGCCGATAACGTAACACCCTTCAGCATGTATGGAGATGTACCGCTGTAGGTACTGTATACAGCACAGAAACTTTGTTCAAACGATTACAGCTTAATTACTACACAATTTAGCGAGCATTCCCAAAGTCACTTAACGTGTTAAACATGCACGCATATTTGTCTCTTTCCGTCAGACAAGAATAAGATTCAATCAAAATCATTTTCAGAATTTAGGATAATACAGGTACTATCATTTGAAATTTAAGTAACCTGGCGTTAAGCTGAAGCTGCAATCTGAAATTAACGTCGAACTTGCAGCGTAAAGAGTAGACATACATTGTTAGACGTGACATAATGTCACCACTCTTAGAAACGAAATAAAATTCCTTAAAATACACTATATTTTACAGAATGTAATTGGCCATTTTTCACAAAATATAATTCGCAAAAGAAAACCACCATAAAACCCCCAGGAAAAATGAAAGTTATCAAAGAAAAATATCAACCGAATTATTGTTTTGAGTTATTCGATGAAAAATACTGTTTAGTATAATGACACATTTGGGAACCTACCACGTAACAGCCTCCGAACATAGAAATGAAGAAAAAGACTTTAATATCCATCATTAATGTGTAGGTAGGTCCTCTGTAGAATAAATGTAATCCAGAAATTGTCCAGGTCTACAGAAGAGTTGATTATTACGAGTCCGGTTAACTTTTCAGCACCGAGGTATATAAACAGCGTGCTATAGATAGATGTTCACAACTCGTGAGCAGTGAAGACACACTGGTGCAGGATCGTCACAGTCAACACTTATATGTGCGTTTTGTAGGTATGACATTTTTACAACAAATTTCTTGAAGGGGCGTAGGGTGTTTGGTGTGTCAATCAAAGCGCCTCAGCCAATCACAGCCTTCTTTAGTGGTTAAACAAGCGTGGGAGGGCAGATACATGCCTATATTTAGAGACTATGCCACTTCAGACTCGTCAGATAACTTCATTGAAGGAATTTTGTAAACAGCCCATGTATTATTAGTGTCTGTGACTTTTTTTTTACAAACGTCGGGATCTTAAGATAGACGCACATTAAAACGATGTTTAATTGGTTCCCCCGGCTGGATGGGAGGGGGCACTCTCCTCCGACATTTTTGGAGGTTTTGTTCCATGAAGGCCGAGCGCCATGACTTATTTCTATCAGTCATAATACACTGGGTTCCTTTGCTACTGTCGTACTATGTTTAGACGCCTGGCGTGTGTATCGATGTAGTGGCTATGTTAGAGAGCGGCTTATAACACACCTGTATCTCTACCACCTGTTACTAGCGGGCTAGCAATGTAATCTGTCATGTTACGTAACTTTCTATCAATTTCAGGAAATACATTTCTGATAATAATAGAGAATCTATTTGAAATATTTTATCAAAAATGGCAAATATTTCATAACTTTCATTGAATGTTGAATCTGGTTTGTAAGCCTGCTGTCTCCAGTCACATCACTATGCACAGTCTGATGTGACGGTCGGGTCGATGTTGTGATTTAAAATGCTTTACGCTGAAAACATTCTCATGTGACGTTAAGATAATTTGCAATAGATTCGCTGTCGATCGATGCGCTTTATAAATTGTCCTACGATCGTATCGTGAAACAACCGTTAACATGATATCAGAAAGTAATGCCTCTATGCACGATATCCAAATATTTTGATTCATAATGTACATGTCAACCTTAGATCTACCTTAGATACTGAACACCGGACCTCACATCATAGATCACCAGGCCACACAACAAAAATTGATATATCACAGAATATAACGTGTTATAATATAGCACATATTTAAGATGATCCTCGTTGATACTGAGGTGTGGTATGTTGTTAGATCACGCCATCTATGCGCAAAATGCAACGCCGCTTATACGAAGCAAAGCACGTAAATAAGTACGGTATATCGCTACCTATGTGTACTGTACGGCGTTACTTATGTGTGAAGTATATAACGCTGCGAACGTGTTTTGTATAGCGCCAACTATGTTTACATTAAAACGCCAACTACATTGTATGTCTATATTTCGGCGCCACCTATATGTGTATTACAGCGCCACATATGTGTGTATTACAGCGCCACCTATATGTGAGTTTCAGCGCCACCTATGTCCATAGAAGAACACTAACTGTTTTGTTTACAATTCCACAATCACCTATGAACAAAAGACATGTACGGTAATCGTATCGGTTGCTTTTACCCGTTGACTATGCTGGGTGGCTGGAGTACTATGCTAGGTGGCTGGAGTACTATGCTGGGTGCCTTCGGCATGGTATTGCAGTGAGGCAGCACTCTGAAATCGGCAACAAGTCAAAACGCTATCGCAAGACGGCACATACATCAACATGCCATGCATCTAGCATCTCCTGAAATGACCTTAGCTGTTAATAGGACGTGACAACTAAGCGAAAGTAACAGATAACTATCAATATAACGTATTATAATAACAATTCCTTAATGCGTAGAATATATGAAGTTATTTTCTTTTTCACTCTTTCAAGTTTTTCTAGAGGAAATGTTCACGTCATACCCGTAATAAAACCATTGTATGTTTGTTAGAACACTAGAAATGACGTAAGGTCAGACATACATTGAAGTGAAGACCGATTGGATCCATGAAGATGGTTAGAGACACAACGTACATTGGAAGCTAATGATTTTGTAAATAAATAAGAAACACTGCGCCATAAGATCTAGATTTAGGAATATCTTTATACAGAGGCAGTCTTTATAGAGATGCTGTTTATAGAGATATTGATATATGGCTTGTATAGAGAGGTGGTCTATAAAGAGAGACAGTCTTTATAGAGAGATGATCTTTATGAAAAATATGATATATAAAAAGATATTTTAACATGGGGTGTATAGACAGGTGGTGTTTATGACAAACGCAGCTATCTATCTTCTATATCAACAGACGTTTCGTACGTTGTAGGAACACTTTCTCTAGTCGTGTTGCAACTGTATCGTTGTTTGCCATATTCGATTAGCAGTGCTTCGTTTGACAAAACACGTCAAGTTATTAAAGATAGCTCAAGCAGATTTTTGGCAATTAAATGGAATTTTACATTCGAAATAAATAGATAAAAAGTAAAAGACCATTAAAACAAACCTCTTGAAATACAAAAATAGCCCAATTGATCGTAACAGATGTGAATATCGCGTGTTCGTGGCTATAAGTATCGGGATTCGCCAGGAATGTCTGGTTATTGGCCCCGATCCTCCTTTACATGAGAGGTCAAGTACACAGAGACGTGTATTCATTTAATTTAGGAGTTAGCGGAGTACTATGAACTTTTCTGTCGGGCCTATATTACCTCGGCGGAACGACACAGTGACGAGACCATTATGTGGGGTTACTGTTATATACTTAGAGGCCAACTTGTAATTTTGAGATGATACACAGACGGCACTTTGAAGTGTCAAATTTCAATTTCGATACAGATGTGTTGTGGTTGTGATCTATTACTGGTTTCGTACCCAGGTACGACTATCTCTACTCCACACACAAACAGGGACGCATTATTGGACAAGAGAGTCGCTTTTGTTACCCAACAGTCATCAACAATGGTTTATATACTCCATCTCTTTGGACCTATTTTTAGGTTGGCTTCTTCTCCCATTTGAGGACAAGGAAGAATTGGTTGTACTGGATGTTTTTGGGAAAACGTTGACTTCTTAGATTCCTCAGAAGATTATCGGAAAAGGAGATACAAGTCTTAGTTTAGTTTGAACCCTAGCCACGTCAATCCAAGCAGACCTACTTATGTAATCCAATGTTTGCACCATCCAGCCACAACTGTTCTAGTTGTCCCATTATCCGACTACTATTAATCCAGTTCTATTACGATCAAGCTACCAGTAATACGGTTCTATCATGATCTAGATATAATCAATCCAGTGATTCTATGATACGACGTCATTTAACCATGCTGTATCGTCATCTGTCCACCATCCAGCCGGTGTTAACGGGACAGGATTTTATACAAGCTTTACCCTGGGTAGAAGGGGTGTGCTGCACCGGGAGGTAAATCACGACAGTAGCTATGTAATATAATATCTAGGCGCAATGGTCACATCATTAACAAGGGTCTGACATTTTACATTACAACTACAAGAAATGGGGGTAAATGTGTAAACAAAATGTTCAAACTTACTTTTTATCTTTTCTTTGCCATTTACAAAAGAACTATTTTTTGAGTTTTCGATATTTTTCTAACTTCGTAAATGAATGTTTTGTTTCCATATTTCAATCTTCCTCAGTAAAAATGATCATAATGCGAGTTTAATCTTTAATTATGAGCAAAATGAAGAAATGATGAAAGAATAATTTACTCCTTGAGTAAATGATCATAATGCGAGTTTAATCTTTAATTATGAGCAAAATGAAGAAATGATGAAAGAATAATTTACTCCTTGAGAATGCGACTAAATATTTCAGAATAGCAATGTTTTTGTTTTTGATGTAACACTTAAATGATAACTATGACCTGGCAACAGGAGTTACCATAGAGTAGAGCAATGTAAAACATTGAAATACAGGCAGGAAAGGGGGCATTACTGTATACACAATCTAACATGTGACATATCAACCTATTTTAATACTTATCTTCTGGTTAGGTATACCTATACTAATCTGGTAACCAAGTACCAAGAGAACGAATATTTAGATATTGGTACAGTGACAATCATGCGAAATCATACATTGCTGAAAAACCATGACATTTGGCCTGGATGCCTACAATACTGAATGAACATTCAATTAAATGTTCGAAATCTGGACTTCAAGTTGTTATACTTTCGCTCTAACCGACTGAGCTACCTATTCTACGGAAATGTCCTGGCCCACCTTTGCTACAGTTATATTCAAAACGACATTAAGGAGAGGTCACTGTATTTACGCGAGAAAAAAGGATACCCATATAATATATTAGCGAACAAAATTGTGTTATATGTCGTTTTGAATATAACTGTAGCCCACTAGGGCCAGGACACTTCCGTAGACTCGGTAGCTCAGTCGGTCAGAGCGATAGTATCACACCACGACCTATCAGGACTGACCTCGGCATCACACCACGACATAACAGGACTGACCTCGGCATCACACCACGACATAACAGGACTGACCTCGGCATCACACCACGACATAACAGGACTGACCTCGGCATCACACCACGACATAACAGGACTGACCTCGGCATCACACCACGACATAACAGGACTGACCTCGGCATCACACCACGACATAACAGGACTGACCTCGGCATCACACCACGACATAACAGGACTGACCTCGGCATCACACCACGACATAACAGGACTGACCTCGGCATCACACCACGACATAACAGGACTGACCTCGGCATCACACCACGACATAACAGGACTGACCTCGGCATCACACCACGACATAACAGGACTGACCTCGGCATCACACCACGACATAACAGGACTGACCTCGGCATCACACCACGACATAACAGGACTGACCTCGGCATCACACCACGACATAACAGGACTGACCTCGGCATCACACCACGACATAACAGGACTGACCTCGGCATCACACCACGACATAACAGGACTGACCTCGGCATCACACCACGACATAACAGGACTGACCTCGGCATCACACCACGACATAACAGGACTGACCTCGGCATCACACCACGACATAACAGGACTGACCTCGGCATCACACCACGACATAACAGGACTGACCTCGGCATCACACCACGACATAACAGGACTGACCTCGGCATCA